GTGGTGGACGGTCATGACGAGGAACAGATGGATCTGCCTCTTCTGGTCCTTCAACCTTTTTTTCTGGGTGTGTGGAGCTTTGTGTCTCCTGATTGGACGTGGAGACCTGTCCTCTGAGTTTCCTCCTGATTCGTGGCTTTGAGCTGCAGCTGAAGATCTGACTTGGTCTTCGTCTTCATCAGAGAGGAGCCTTTGGCTTCTGCTGGTGTCCACTCTCCTCCAGCTGCAGCAGCTCAGCCGTGTCCGTAGTCTCTGTAAGGATGGGATGACCATCCGTCGAAGGAAACCCCCTTTACGTCTTCCTTTTTTTGGCCAGTGGTAAACGCGGGGGTTGTTAGTATTTTTCCCGACTCTAGCAACACGTTGGCGGGATTTATACAGCCCGCCTAAGACTGCGGAGCCCAACATCATGACAGAAGACCACGGAGCGTGTTCTGTCCGTCTTATGTGGATTTCACCCGTGTGTCATCATGACATCAAAGACATCAAGGATGTCTTTGATGTCATGTACTCTGTGGCTTTGATGTCATTTTCTCTGTAGACTATCTGAGAGGACGCCTGTCCCTGGGACAGTTGTCCTCTGGCTGCTGCAGTAAGTTGGGACAGTGATGTTGTAAAAGTCCTCAACACTTGCGACTAACTAACCCTAACCCTAATCTGCCCCAAGAGGACAAAAGACAAAGTGGACAACAGTCACCCAGAGTGACCCTGCAGGACAAAGGTAGAGCAGCAGAAGACAGGACCGGAGTGGAACAGAAAGAGTTGGAACCAGAACTGGAGTCGGAGTCGTCTGGACATCACAGCCATCTGCCTTGTGTCAATGTCCATCTCCAGGGAGACTGATGACACTGGAAATCCAGCCTGTGTCGTCCACAGAGATTTGTCAAAAAGCTTCAGATGAAAAGACACCTGAGGACCAGACTGGGCTGTCTCAGGAGAAATGTCCATCTTCAGAACCTCTGGAAACAGACAGTCCTGAGGACCAGACTGTCCCTGGAACGGGGACAGAGGTGTTCTCGTGTCTGCCTTCAGGTCAAGTGTCCACAGTTTCTACAGGGACGTTTGAAGAAGAGAGCTTGAAGAGACGATCAGAAGATCAGAAGGAGTTGGAGACTGGTGTCTCCTCACAGGAAGAGCTAACGTCCACGTCCAAGGCTGAACTGACCAAGGTCCAAAGCAGCCTAGAAGAGTCCAGATGTGAGTGGGAGCGTTACAAGACACAACTGCTGGAAGACCACGACCGGAAGACCTCACAGATGAGGGCAGAGCTTTTCCTGGTGAGAAGGGAAGGGGAGAAGAAGAAACACAGGTGGCAGGATGAGCGCTCTGCTCTTCTGGAGACTCTGAACAAAAACCAGGAAGCTCTACGACTTACAGAGGAGGAGGCAGAGAGGCTGAAGGTCAAAGCAACGAGGATCGCTCATCTGGAGAGTAGGATTCAAAATCTGGAGGACAAAAGGGTGAAAAAAGAGTCTGGGTGGGGTCTCCTCTTACAGCTCTTCAAAGTCAGTGGCTGGAAAACACGCTGACCCCCGACCCCACCTACAACTCCCTCTGCTGGATTTTTTAAAACCTGCAGCCTCTGCTGCTTAAAGGCTTGTTTTTGTTTTTTGGACTTTGGTGAAGATGAGTGGTTCACAGTGACACGGACGTCACTTCTCTCAGTAATACTGTGTTTAACTAAACAGAACAGTTGACCTAATAAGGACGTGTCAAGGTCTGGTGGGGGGTAAGGGGGGGTTGTGCTGCATCCACTAGTACTGAAGTCTGGAACAGTTCCAAGTGCCTCCCAAACCTCTGTTTCGCCCCGTCAGGTGAACACACTCCTCCAGGATCAGACCTGGATAAATGTGTGATGACATGTAAATATAAAGTCTTCTTTTTCTTTCGGCTTTGTCCCTTTTTTTAAAGGGTTAAATAAATATAAAAGAATATATATAATATAATTTGATAGTCAATGCCAAGGACTTCAAATAAAATCAACCCATAATCTGTCTGTTATTACGACAAATGTAGGAAATAAAATTTTACAAAAAATAAAATACATTGAGTAATACCGTACATTACTAAAAATTAATTTTAGTGATAATTAAAAAAAGAAATGAAAAAATTGATAAATTTGACTCAATTAATTTTTTTGTCCCAGAAAAAAGCAGTAGTTAAACACACGCAGAGCAGCCCAAACCTGAGCCTTAAGAGACCGGAAGTATACTGTTCACCTCGGCTGAACCGTAAGCTACTTCCGGTTCGCTGTTAGCGTTGTTGTGAGTGCGCTGTCTTAAAGGATAGCCCGCAGCCCTAGTTATTTATTTAATTTAAATTATCCTTTGTGACACTTTACGGAGAGCTGAGGAGTCAGTCGGTGAGTTTTACATTAAGAAAAACAAATTAAAATAATGTCAACCGACGAGTTACCATGTTGTTAACGAATGAAGCTAACGTCAGCTTTCGGTGTCAAATGACCGAGTGTAAACAACAAAGATCAGATAACTCGGTGTTCCGTGATGAGTCGATTTTCAGCTTCTAAAATATGTCAATTCACAATAAATGTTAAACCACAAACTCTGCTGGAGAAAACTCAGAAACGTGCAGCATGAATTTGGACATTTTTGCTCCTTTCGTGTCGTTTAAAGCACTCTAGTTAGCACGTAGCATGAACTAGCTGTTGTATAACCGTTTAATAGCAAATCTAATAAGATTTGTGGATAAAGCACATATTTTCATGTTCTTATATCCAGTTGGTATGCTTTAAATCGATATATCGATATCGATTATATTTTCTATTAAACAGTTTCCATTAGGAAACATGACGTGTTAGCAGGTTCAGCTGGATTTAGATGTTTCTTTATTTGTCACCCGTTCCCATAATCGAGGTAAATGCACACTAAGAAACTAGCCAGTCATTAGCAACAAAATCCTACTATTGCAGCTAACCATATTTTGTACCATTTATTGTCGTCACAGACACTTTATTTCAGAGCATGCGTAAAACAAACTGACATATTTGACATTGTTTTCAAAACGGTTGTCAACGGTGAAACTGGTGGTAACTGTTTTCCTCCGGGTCAGATGTGGCTGTAGCCAACGTGGACCATGAGCAACAGTCACCCTCTGCGTCCACCGACGTCCGTCTCCGAAATTGACCACAGCCAGCTGTTGTCGGAGCAGCTGGGAGCTCTGGTGCCCAGTGAGGAATACAGCGATGTCACCTTCATTGTTGAAGGGAAGCGCTTCCCCGCGCACCGCGTCATCCTGGCAGCTCGCTGTCACTACTTCAGGTAAATCCTGCAGGAAAAGACACGTCTTTAATTCTCTCTGTGTGTCTAACATGGCGGTTTGGACTCTGCAGAGCGCTGCTGTATGGAGGAATGAAAGAGTCTCAGCCTCAGGCAGAGGTGTGTCTGAAGGAGACCCGGTCCGAAGCTTTCTCCATGCTGCTGCACTACCTGTACACGGGCCGGGTCAGCCTCAGCTCTGCTCGGGAAGAGGTGGTGCTGGACTTCCTGGGTCTGGCTCACAGCTACGGCCTGCAGCCACTGGAGGACTCCACCTCGGAGTTCCTCCGTACCATTCTGAACACCAACAACGTCTGCCTCGTGTTTGACGTGGCCAGTCTGTACTCTCTGAGCACGCTCAGTGCAGCCTGCTGCGCCTACATGGACCGTCATGCCCCAGAGGTGTTGAACTCTGACGGCTTCCTGGAGCTGTCAAAGGTGAGAAGCTGCCCTTTGATAGTGTGTGAAGTTGTCTTACATAAGAATCTGGCGATCATTAGGTATCATGATCCTGGAGCAGCTCTACTGTAATATATTATGATATACCGTGAAAGTATAGGCACCACGATAGTTTGGATTTCTTTTTTAAATAGTTTTCATAAAAGATGAATACTTTTTCAGAGATGGAGACACCTGCTGAATGTCAATCCTCGTGTGTGTGTGTGTGTGTGTGGGTGTGTGTGTGTGTGTGTGTGGGTGTGTGTGTGTGTGTGTGTGGGTGTGTGTGTGTGTGTGTGTGGGTGTGTGTGTGTGTGTGTGTGTGTGGGTGTGTGTGTGTGTGTGTGTGGGTGTGTGTGTGTGTGTGTGTGGGTGTGTGTGTGTGTGTGTGTGTGGGTGTGTGTGTGTGTGTGTGTGGGTGTGTGTGTGTGTGTGTGTGGGTGTGTGTGTGTGTGTGTGTGGGTGTGTGTGTGTGTGTGTGTGTGTGGGTGTGTGTGTGTGTGTGTGTGGGTGTGTGTGTGTGTGTGTGTGTGGGTGTGTGTGTGTGTGTGTGTGGGTGTGTGTGTGTGTGTGTGTGGGTGTGTGTGTGTGTGTGTGTGTGGGTGTGTGTGTGTGTGTGTGTGTCCTTTCACAGACGGCTCTCCTGACGGTGGTCAGCCGAGATTCCTTTGCGGCCAGTGAGAAGGAAATCTTCCTGGCTCTGTCTCGTTGGAGTCGGCAGCACGACGAAGGAGCTGACACACACGAGGTGATGTCGGCGGTGCGGCTGCCGCTCATGACCCTGACAGAGATGCTGAACGTGGTGCGGCCTTCGGGCCTCCTGAGCCCAGACGACCTGCTGGACGCCATCAAGACCAGATCTGAGAGCCGCAACATGGACCTGAACTTCAGAGGAATGCTGAGTCAGTTTCTTAAAGTGTATCAAACAATAGCTACAATTTGGTAAAATATATTTCAATTTTATAAAATGCCAAACATTACAAAAAAAAGCAGCAACAGTAATTAGTAGAAAATAGTTGCCTTTTGTATGGTCGTGAAAAATGCCGAATGTTAACCAAAGTCGTCGTCGTTTTCAGTCCCTGAGGAGAACATCGCCACCATGAAGCACGGAGCTCAGGTGGTGAAGGGAGAGTTGAAGTCTGCGCTCTTGGACGGAGACACCCAGAACTACGACCTGGACCACGGCTTCTCCAGACACCCCATCGAGGAGGACGGCAGGGCCGGCATCCAGGTCACACTGGGCCAGGCCTTCATCATCAACCACGTCCGTCTGCTGCTGTGGGACAGAGACAGCAGGTCAGACCAGACTGACCTTTGGTCGTGGTGTGATGTTAGAACTCTTTTCAAAATGTCTGAAAAAACTGCTGACGTTTGGCAGTGAAATATTTTATAAATATGGAGGATGTGAAGGAAACACAAAGGTTTTTGTTCAGATGATGAACTCTGAGGTTTGGAAATTGCAAATCAAAATTAAATTAAATATTCCATGAGTCCGCACAAAGTATCACAATGGGAATTGAGATGGAAATTAGAAGTTAGCCAAGATTTCAGATAACTATAGTTTGACCAAAAAGATTCCAAAGAGTTCAAATCTGAAATGTGACAAAACCAACTGGTTTCCACAAGTTGGAAAAACACAGACTTACTATGAAACCTAATGACAATATTTCACATAAATAAAGAGAAAATTTAAAATGTGCATAGAAATGTTGGCTAAGAGTTAGAGTTTTTGCTTAAGATGAGTGAAAAAAAAAGTATATTAAAAAAAATAAAAAAATACATCCAAGATAACACATTGTATTGCTAAAAGTTGGTGTTCACAAGGTTGCAAAAATAAATTCCATAATGTTATCAGAAAAATAGCTCAGATCAATAAGTTAGCCTGAACTTGGAGGTAGCTGGAACTGAACGTCAGCTCAGACATGTGGACGTCTTTTTCAGGTCCTACTCCTACTACATCGAGGTGTCCATGGACGAGCTGGACTGGGTGCGTGTCGTGGACCATTCCAAGTATCTGTGTCGCTCCTGGCAGAATCTGTACTTCAAGCCGCAGGTTTGCAGGTAAATCCGTGCTACTGACACCAACAGGACAGAGTGGGAACTGTGCTTGGTCTGTAGTTCTCTGCAGAACC